TATTTTGTAGATTACTTCATCCTTCAAACACTGCCAACACCGGGGGTGGGGGGAGGTTGGGGAGAAATACAGGCCTCTAATACAAGAAATTTATCCAAAACAGATAGGGACACATACAAATGTAACTACCAGAGAAACAAGCAGAACATTAATTAAAATTTGAAGTCCAGGTACACTTTAAAAAGTTTTTGTATGCTCCTTGTCTGACAGGTGAAAAAGATGAAGTTACCATTTCTGTTAGGCAAATCGTGCAAAAGAATAGAGAAGAGTTCCAAAGACTGCCTTGGGTAGGGCAGAGGAAACAGGAGACAATTACTGTGGCAAGGAGGGCACAGAAGCCAGCATTATTACAAAAACTACAGCTTTCTACTGAAGTTGTCCAAAATACTGCAGTAAATGCATACTGTGACATTTTAAAGCCACTACAGGCCCTAAAATAGACACACTGCTACAATAGAAAAGTTTGATGTTCTTCTCTACCTTACTCTACTCAAAATAAAAAACTCAAGTGACATTTTTTTCCGATGGAAAATCCATCCCATTTAATAGCAGATATTTATCCTACCTATTCCGTTCAACCTCTCCAGCATCACCCAGGAAAAAAAGAATACTGCAGCCTGTAAATCTAGTCAGTTTCTCTAGCTCCAATACAGTATCTTGAACATGCCAATTACTTTTGATTTTACCTGCAGACAAAGGTCACCAGGGAACCGAAATTAGGGTTAGTTATCCAGAATTATGGAGTCTCACCTTCTAAATACCAACACCAACCTAAACCAGAAGCCCAGTTGGAATGATCACCTACAATATTGTATTTACACCCATTTCTCACACTGCCCCAGCACAGCCAGTATGTAATAGAACAATGACTAAGGAAGTTCTCACTTCCTGCCTAAAGGGCACATTGTCCCCTGCAAGCACAGGGAAGTAACATTCAGAAATGTATTTACATCAAGATAAAATTGATGGATTTGATTATGAACATGTTTCTGTGACGCAAGCATACCCTGAAGATGTACATGCATAAAGAAATAGCTCTCTGAAACATGCGGACTTCACTGTTAAATTGGAACTCCTGACAAACAGCCAACAGAGATAGGAAACTCTGGATAGCAACAAGAAAAGGAGGACTTGTGGCACCTTAGAGACTAACAAATTTATTTGAGCATAAGCTTTTGTGAGCTACAGCTCAATCCGATGAAGTGAGCTGTAGCTCACAAAAGCTTATGCTCAAATAAATTGGTTAGTCTCTAAGGTGCCACAAGTCCTCCTTTTCTTTTTGTGAATACAGACTAACATGGCTGCTACTCTAAAACATGTGGATAGCAAGAAATCCAGCCACAGTGACCTTTGTAATCCCCATGAACGATTCCAGATATAGAAATCTTCAAACAACTCTCGAGATAAATCATTAAAACAGTACAATTATTCAAAGAGACTTGATTTTACCAAGGGTCTAATATTCAAAGCCAACAGCATGTGCTTTCTGTGAAGGGAAAGGGTTAAAGAAACAGCTTGTGAGCAGAAACAAGTTGCCTGTAGGAGTTCATTCTTATGCAGATCACGTTATTAAAGCACTAATTAAACGAAAAGAATCTCACTGAAAGTTCAGTAACTTACCAAAGTGGCAATCTGTATGCAACAGCCACAATATTTTTTCCATCTCGAGAATCAATTTATTCTCACTTTCTGCTTTAAAGTTATTACCATTATGCTAAAAAATACATCCAACAGTTTATGTTTTGAATGTTTTTCCTGATTAACAGGAAAAATTAATCAGTTCTGCCCCACTGTTTCACAGTTAAAGGCTTGTTTTCTCCATACTTTATACTGGCCTTCATTCCACTTGTCTATGATATACATTCAATCAGTAAACTGGAAAAATAAAGCAATGTAACCAAGGCTTTGCTGTAGATTAGCCATTTAAAATTTCTCTATCCAAGTGGTACATTGCTTGTGATAACCCATTTGGCTAAACACTGCTATCCTCAGCCACAAGTACTAGCAACAAGACCAGATATTTTTGTACATTTATTCCCCTTCACCATTGTTTAGTAAGGTGCAAATGTAATGAATGGGTTACTCAGTTACCGAAATGAAATTGTCATCACTCCTTCCTTCTCACTAGTGAAGCAATCATGACCTAAATTAAAGAGACAGAACCAAACTCCAGCCAGTACCAGACAATGTTGTTTTACATCTGAGTGTCACTGACTGAATGAACAAGATTGATGAGACCAGACGGCTCAGGAAGCAGACCAGCAGTGCCAACTCAACCACACAAATGGTATTTAAAAAATAAAAACAAAAGACTGTTCATGTATTTAAAGCAAAGTTTTACAATTTTCCAATAAAATAATTAAAATCTACATCAAAGCTGTCCCACTGTTTATTAATATTGCCAAATTCTGCAGTGGTTTTTTTTAGCGTTTTTTAGAAATACTGAAATTGTTCACACACAAGAACAGTTTGATTTGTGGACTAATTCCTTAATTCTTTACTTTCAACAACAAAAATCTAGGGAAGTACCCAGGTGACCAGACTAATAGGCCTCACTCCTCCAATTCCTTAGGGAATGGCTACACTGGAAACTTCAAAGCGCTGTCGCGGGAACGCTCCCATGGCAGCGCTTTGAAGAGCTCCCCCAGCACTCCTGGTAATCCACCTCCACCGCTCGGAGCCTGTCTACACTAGCACTTCAAAGTGTTCAGACTTGCTGCGCTCAGGGGGGTGATTTTTCACACCCCTGAGCCAGCAAGTTAGAGCACTATAAAATGTAAGTGTGCACAAGCCCTTAGTAAATGTTTATCTCAGCTCATAATGCTTCACAAACATCAGCCCCATTGCTAAGGAATGAGCTTCAAGGTTCTTGGCATAGCTTATTCACACTATCTGACCCGTGGACCACTGTAGAGTCTGTTTAGCTCTTCACCTTTCACCTGTATAGACTGCACCAGGACAAAAATTAAACCAAGTTCCTCCTTTAGCAACCTAATCATTTATAAATGCATTAATTACACTCACTTAACCATGTGCCAAAAATCCACACCTTAGATATAAGCCCATGAATGCCTGTTTCCATTGTAAATCTTTTGTGTATTGCATGTACATACACGGAACTGTTTTGGAACTTCGAACATTAAGCTAAAACTCTGTTGGCATGTCTGCTCACAGGCTAAATCAAGCTATAAATGGTTTAGATATTTTTCTCTTCCCCCTCCCCCCTCTTCAATAGGCCAAACAAGGAATAGATAGTAACTGGCTCTAGGTACTTTCAACTTTTTTTAAACTAGGCCTGAGAAAAATAACTTATTAAAAATACGTAATATTTGAAGTGTTGATATAAAATTTAATTATTGCATTTGGTCAGTAGCAATCTTCTAAAGGTAACGCTTAGAAGTAACAAGTAACAATAGGGACTGACAGCTAGCCCTAAGGCCCCTCACGTTCCTGCTTTATTTTATGTTGTATGATGCCCAGCACAGAAGTATTTAGCCATTCTGATGCTGTGAATTAGTGACTAAGCTACAGTTTAAGCAGGTGGGAGCTCAATCCCCATCTGTTTTAAAATACATTAATTTTTTTCTAAAAAAGCCCCACACGGCCAGTTCAAGGAGTGTGAGCTGCCTCAGTGGGGGAGGAGCCCACCTTCATGTCTTGCAAGTGGAAGTCAATTTGAGAATAGACGTTTGGGCTCGGCTGGCACCTGGGCTCTAGGACCCTGCAAGGTGGAAGGGTCCCAGAGCTTGGGCTGCAGTCCAAGCCTGAATGTCTACACTGCAATTAAGTCCAAACCCCCCCCGGCATAGTGGGGAATAATGCTTGTAATTCAGAGACAAATTAAGGGTTTTACTTTGCAGAAAGAAGTTAACTTTTTAAGTAATAACTTAAGTTTAGAGTTACCTCTTACAATCCCCCCCTCCCCCCCTCGCTCTTGCAAGATTGAATGCAATACACAGGAACACCCATTCTGCTGGGAGCAAGCCGAATATATGCCAGACGTTTCTGTGTATGAGGAGAATCTCTATTTCTTTTCCTTAAACAAGCTACCTGAACACTTTCCTTGTCTGTCTCATTGAAAGAACTCTCCCAAATGACGCATTTCACATTCAGAAGCATGTCCTTATTGTTTCTCCAAATGTTTGTATTTATACATGTAAAATGTTAAGAAGTAGGAGGCTGACACCAACTACAGTGACAAAAAAAATTTATGGAGTAGATCAATGGCACCAACGGGCTCAAAAAGATTCAAGTTCAAATGGAAAAAATTAAAGAATATTAAGAAAAAAAAGTCAAAGAAAAACAATAATGACATCAACTCTCCTCCCCACTTTACACTCCCTTTGAGGCTGAAAATCTGAGATGACACACCAACCATCTTTCTATTATACCAGCAAAATGCAAGACATACAGTTCTATTATCTGAAATGCATTTGATCCGTACAGAGTTTTTTGTTGACGTTTCCAGGGTAATGTTACACTGGCACTTTGCAGAGCTTGGGGAAAAGAATTTGAATTCCCATAGTTCATGGGAAGATCTTTTACCTTATGATAATTATCACACTTCTCACAAATTTCTGCAATTTATTTATTGTACATTTTGTACATAGAAACCTTCTTTAAAAGTTTCTTTGCTGTATAAAACAGTAACAAGTAATATTCAAGAACATTTATGTAGTTAATAGAAACATCACAACACAAGCAGATAAACTGAATTGTTCTTTGTACAAGTATAGCTGCAGACTCATAGAATGTATATTCTGGTGCATAAAGCATAACATTTATAATGTATTTATGCACATTCACTTCCTACTTTACACTACAGTAAACCACAGCTTCTTAAATATAATCGGAGACTAACGTGTCAAAGGCACAACACAGTGGAGCTTTCCACAAATACCAATACACCCATTAACTAGTACCTCATTTTTAAACTTTTAAAGACAGCACAAAGAACAGGAGATTTGGACTAGCAAATTATTTCCCCCCACCTTCCTTACCAGTTTCTGAGCTTCTGGACTGAAGCAGTCTGCTTCCGTTTGCATGGCTGCAAAGTTTGTTATTCACCGTCAGAGTCTTTGAAGTTCGTACACGAAAAGGGAAACAAAATATCCACTTTACTACTTGCTAGGCTTCTGCTTTATTTACTTAACATCCCAGGAAAGTATTTCTGATCCAGTTTGTCCAGTGTTTATCCAAACAAACAAGATGACTCTGTCCACCTCTCCAAAATCCTCACATTTCTGTCAGCTTGCTCTGCTGACACAGAATCCACCTAGGGGAGCGGTCAAGACACAGGGCGAGTCACACAGGTGCTCTAGGGACCACACAAAGAGTCAGTGTGCTTCATAAAGGAATCCTTCCTTCGCCGCTTCAGAAAACACAAGCGCAAGCACAGATTTCCTCCCACAAAACTTTCAGTTCTTTCAGTTCACATTTGTATTGAAGTTTCCACCTACTCTCCCCACCCTACTTCAAGGGAATGGCAGGACAGTAATAGCTTACGGCTCCACGCCTGTCAGTAACTACAGTTCTTGAGTCAGCAAGTGAGCAGCTGGCTCCAAAGGTGCAGGAAGGCAGACAAGCTGATTTTTCCTCTTCCCTCGGCACAGGATCTTTGACTAAGCAACTGTCGTAATCTGCAAGTCTGCAGCAAAATCATTCAATGTTCCTTAGTCTTACCCCAACCAGCACCACGACACCAAGAACAGGATGTGTTTATTACTGTAGTGTTTTCTACAACCATCACTTTACAGGCTGTCAAATACAAATAGTTTGTGCTGCTTTATGAAGCCCCTTGTGCTACTACATGACATTTTTATGGTAGTGCATAAACTTATTTTTAAAATCAGAAAAAAATTCTGAGATCCACTTGTAAACAGAATTCCTTTTTGCCTCTTACCCAACTTTTCACCCTGCGTGCTGATGTGGTCGTCCCATCTCAAAAAAGAATATATTGGAATTGGAAAAGGTTCAGAAAAGGGCAACAAAAATTATTAGGGGTATGGAACGGCTTCCATATGAGGAGCGATTAATAAGACTGGGACTTTTCAACTTCGAAAAGACAACTGAGGGGGGATATGATAGAGGTCTATAAAATCATGACAGGTGTGGAGAAAGTGTTATTTACTCCCTCTCATAACACAAGAGCTAGGGGTCACTAAATGAAATTAATAGGCAGCAGATTTAAAACAAACAAAAGGAAGTATTTTTTCACACAACGCACAGTCAAACTGTGGAACTCTTTGCCAGAGGATGTTGTGAAGGCCAAGACTATAACAGGGTTCAAAAAAGAACTAGATAAGTTCATGGAGAATAGGTCCATCAATGGCCATTAGCCAGGATGGGCAGGCATGGTGTCCCTAGCCCAGAGATGGGCAAACTAAGGTCCGCAGGACCGTTCAACCTGGCCCCTGAGCTCCTGGCCCGGGAGGCTGTCCCCCGGCCCCTCCCCCGATGTCCCTCCTCCCCTGCAGGATCAGCTCACTGCGCCGCTGGTGCAATGCTCTGGGCAGCGGGGCTGCAAGCTCCTGGGGCAGCGCAGCTGCAGAGCCCTAGCCTGACCTGGTGCTCTGTGCTGCGCAGCACAGCTGCCTGTCCTGGTGTAGCCGCATCACCAGCCACCGGTGCTCCAAGCAGCGCGGTAAGGGGGCAGGGAGCGAGGGAGTTCGGGGTGGTGGTCAGGGGGTGTGGATAGGGGTCAGAGCAATCAGAGGGCGGGGAACAAGGGGGTTGAATGGGGGCAGGAGTTCCAGGGACGGTCAGGGAGAAGGGGTGGTTGGATGGGGCAGGGGTCCCCAGGGGAGGGGGCAGTCAGGAAGGAGAGGAGGGGTTGGATGGGGCGGAGGTTCCGGGGGCGGTGGATGGGGCAGAGGTCGGGGGGGGGGCAGTCAGGAAGGAGAGGGGGCGGTCAGGGGACAGAGAGGGAGGGAGGATGGGGCAGGGGTCCCGGGGCAGGGCGGGGGAGGCTGTCAAGGGGTGAGAAGCAGGGGGAGTCGGATAGGGGGCAGGGGCCGGACCACAGCTGGCTGTTCGGGGAGGCACAGCCTCTCCTAACCGGCCCTCCACACAATTTCTGAAAACCAATGTGGCCCTCAGGCCAAAAAGTTTCCCCGCCCCTGCCCTAGCCTATCTTTGCTAGAAACTGGGAATGGATCACTTGATTACCTATTCTGTTCATTCCCTCAGTGGCACCTGGCATTGACCACTGTCGGAAGTCAGGATCCTGGGCTAGATGGCCCTTTGATCTGACCCAGTATGGTCATGCTTATGTTGATAATGTGAAGCAAAAACCCCATCATCAGCAATAACTACACTAAAATAGTGGCCTGTGTTTACATCTCTGCCATCTAGGATATGGACATTACCCAAGCTGCTACTCTGGGTGCATTGAAAGTTTACATTTAATAATGCTTGAGTGGATTCTCACACGTGACCAATGTTCACACCTTGGAAAAATCCAACTGAAGTGCCTGCCACTTTGGCACAATTACATCAGTATGCTGGCTTCATTTACATAGATTTTATTTTAAAAAAAACAGACAGGTGGGTCATCAATGTTGAGTGTGACACAAGGAAAACTTCTCTTCTGTAATCAATGGGAACTTAATTCTGACTGACTAAAAAAGGGAACAAAAAGCAAGGAACAAGGGTGGAGAGGTTGACAGCGATTAGTTTAGAGTTCACCGAAATCTGTACACTACCGGTTAAGGATGAGAGACAATAGCAGAACAATTAAGAGAATCCTAAACTGTCACTACCTGTACTCTACCCATTTCGGATAGATCATTTTGGATGGATCACTTGATGATGAACTGTTCTGTTCATTCCCTCTGAAGCACTAGGCATCGGCCACTGTCAGAAGACAGGATACTGGGCTAGATGGACCTCGATCTGATCCACTATGGACGTTCTTATGTTGTCAATCAGGAGATGGAGTTGGACACCAGTACATTTCATAGTGTTCTAAAATTCCTTAAACACTAAACCAAAACGGATTGTAACGTTTTGTTTCCCCAAACTCAAACCAAATACTAACGCAGATTATCACACACTTTTAAGTCACTTCCTTTCATATACTCACTGCATTTCTCCAGGCTATCAGGCTGGAATTAAACTGCACATTTCTCTTCTCTCTATCCCATCTGAAATGCCACCCTGGGCTTATTTTGGTTTGGCATATTTTTAATTTCTTTATTTTCCTCATCACTCAGAAATGATCAGGTGAAAGCATATAAATAAATATTAAAATGATTATGGGCACATTCCCCAGAAGATTTCACCTTTAGCGTAATACTACGTGATATTTATAGGTACAGAAGGACAGATCTATGCACAATAAGCAAAATCCTGGCCATGCTCAAGTCAATAGCAAAACTCCCATTAACTTTAATGGGGTGAGGATTTCACCTAATGTATGCATGCACACCATCTCCCACAAAGAAAACAGGCAGGAATAGACATGACCCTGAGAAGATAATCTAAATTTCAGTGGTTATTTTTCAGCTGTTGACATTTTGGAAGACTAGAGGAGGTTTGTTGTCAATAGAGTCCTCTCTTCTTGGCTCCATTCCTTACATTGCATGGACAAGCAAAATAGGTTGTTACCCAGCAACCAAGCCATTATGTTCCTTCCTGGTCAGCCAGCTAAGGACGGAGAAGCCTGTAGAGGCTCCACCTAGCAACAGAGTTCAATTTTTCCATAAACTCCCAACCTACTGCCAGTCCCAGCCAAAGAACTCAGTAGTTCATGCTGTTCCCATAGTATCATCCATATAACAGGCAGATTGTTTTCTTAATTCATTTTTCTTAATTCATTTTTAAGTGTATAGAATAATTTTTTATTCACAGGCTAGTATTTCACAGTAATTTTATTCAGTGAGTTCCTGAATACCAACCATGTCCCATTGTTCTAGAAAGGCCAAGCATATTCTACAAGGCTTCCTCTGCAGAAGTGCTCCAAGTATGCATAATTTACAAGCTGTCCTTCAAAACTGTCATTTGAGAAGACAACTTATTTTTAAAAAAAAAATAGCAACTTTGCTTTTTCATAATAGGCCTGCACTGTCCTATGGGGAAATATCCACCACTTTCTTCAGCCTGTGAAACTGTGAGGTTAGGGATAGGAGTAGCAGAATGCTAGAGTATACAGAATCGTACTCCTGCTCCCCTGGGTCTACCAGAACGCTCATTCATCCAGTGACATTTGGATCAGCAGATTTGCTGACTCTTCCTTTCACTTTACATTAACTGGCAATTCTCCTCAAGAGGGTTACTAAATTATAGAAGGGGGAATATAAACATTATAGAGTCACAAATCAGAGAATTTTCGAAGTACTACTTAGATGTCAAATTCAGGGAAAAAACATAGGGTATGACCGAAGGATAGATTGGAGACCAAAACAACCACATGTGGTGAGCCACCAATGCTGTTTGTACTTCAAATGTTTCTTCCAGTTTAAGATATTTCTTGCCTATTTGTCAGGAAATGCAAGAATATTCCACTAAAATTTTCAAACCAAGAGAAACTCTCGAAATGTACCCTTCAAGGGAGAGAATTTTTGGAAATCACTTCCAGTTGCTCTTATAACTGTAAATATTAAATCAGAAATTGTTTAATTCTGCTAATGAGAATGTTGTTACTAGTAATAACTTTCTTTTCAACAGGCATCGTCCTCAATACGGATGAAGAAAGGAATTTCAGGTGCCAGGTAGCTCAGTATATTAGTATACTTTTTTCCATATTCAAGTCCTCTTTTGGCCATAGATTTAATTTGATGGTCTCCATATTGTAAGATGGCAATTTCTACTCTCAGCAGGCCCAAGGTCAGATCAGCAGAGGTATTACACATCAGAAACAAATGCAGTGGAGTTTTCATAGTACCTACCCGCATTATGCCTGGCTCTAGCCAGTTCTTTTCTTAAATACTAATTTTAAGTTATGGGGAAACAAAAATTCTTAACGGAGAAATTCTGTTGACAAGACAACTAACTCCAAATCATACCTGCTTCTCCAAGACAGCTACCCTTTTGAATTGTTCTATGCCTCTGTCATCTACAAGTTGGATTACAGTAATATACTTTATTTAGGATTGCTTTGGGAGACCACCAAGCAGCTTCAGCTGCAGAAACATTCCAGTCTGTCACCCAGCTGTGGTGGGCAGCGGACTGTATGCAGTACCTTTGCCTAAGATTCTACACTGGATATGTTTGCTTCCATATGTAAATCACTGTGCTACCTGGTTACTTAAGAAAATCCCTCTTTCCCTATGATCAGTCATGAATGTTAAGGCTCGCTGTGGACTCATGGGATACAATTCAAGTTCCAATAGCAGTGTGTTTTCAGCAGAGACCCATTCCCAATGGCACTTGCAGTTTAACAGCCCTGGCAGCTTTCAGAACACACAACTTTTTTTAAAACAGGGTTGGGTTGAGATTTTACACACAGGTTGCAAGACTCATACTGTTTAAAGTTGCAAATGGGTCAACATATTGGATTTGTCTAGCCTATGTTGATTATACAATTTAATTATTAAAATGTGAAGCACTCAGATGTTGTGACAAAAGATGTTGCATATCAATGTCCATGTAAGTAATCAAA